TTTCGTCACTTCCTGCTTTTGAATATTTTTTTTCTCTGAGTTTCTTACTTAACTCCTCACGAAGAATGGTTTTTTTAATTACTCTCGAAGCGAATGCCGTTATTTCGCAATATTTGAGTTTCCTTTCGAATTAACTGTGGTATTAATTCGAACTCGTTTTATTTAGGGACAAGAATGTTGTGACGAATACTTTACGACTGAATGAATAACAGAAGTACAGTAAGACCCCGCTTAACGCGGGGATACGTTCCATCGAAGTAGAGCGTAATGCGAAACAGCGCTAAGAGAGGCTATCTTAACATGTAAATAATGGGGTTAGGGAAAGACGGATAAAAAATGGTTAGGCATTTAAATTTAATAATGTTTTTTTTAATAAAATAAAATCAAGCATTTATTTCTTACAAAAATAAAAACAATATAAACGCATATACTTTTAAAAACAAATAAAATTCTCAGTCAGATCATTCAGTCTATTCTGGGTTTCCAATTTTCTGCCTTTTTTGTCAAGAAGGCATTATGATAGATTGGCTTAATGGCATATTGCGTTCAATTTCGTCGTCAATCCATATAGACAGTCGTTTTCCCATTTCCTCTATAATGTTATTTCTAGAACGGGTAATTCTAGTTGCAGAGCTTGACGTAGTTTTGCAGTTGCCGATGACAGTATTTTTTTCTCATTCTTAAGAATTGTCCTTATTGTTGAAGTGGCCAAAATCAATGCAGCACTAATTTGAGATTGACGTTCACCAGAATCTAATCTTCTAATCAACTTGCATTTGAGTTTCCAGTGAAATGCTTTTTCTGGTTGCTTTCTTTTCTTGTTTTTTCTTATCACCCATGATAAAAACTAAAGATCATAATATTTGTCACTGTATTAATCGTTATAGTATTATACAAATTTAAACTTACAATAATGTCAACAAATGTTTCAAATGATAAGAATGCGTCCACAAAGCAAGAAACACAACTACACTGTTTCGGATATGTTATTTGGAAACCTAGCGCTGCGCACAATTTCGGAGGATCCCCGGGTTGAAATAAAAGAGCGCTAAACCGAAACAGCGCTAAACGAAACAGCGTTAAGCGGGGTCTTACTGTAATTCGATATCATATTTATTTATTTATTTTTTAATTTCTGAGAAACGAAGTAACAAATCTTCTAAGTTATGTGCCCATTCTTTACTTACTTGCTGTTAAAACGTTTTTTAGATTCTTCAGAGAACTTTATTTTCTCTTATTACATGAACTTCTCATTTTTCCTTCCTTTTTCTGAAAAGGCGCAAGTAATAGAGATACAATACAACTCCTATTATCTGAACTCCGACTATCCGAATCGCTGATTATCCCAATCGCTTTCAGAATTTTAGGAAAAAATTAAGACGGAAACGTATTTTGATTCGCGAGAATCAGCCCGACTGTGACCACATGCAATTTTTCATTGTCCAGCCGATGCGCGACAGTCAAACAGCTGACTTTGATTGAGATATTCAGCGAGTAATGACTTTCAGCACTTCTAAGTACTATATCAGGTTCTGTGTTCCTCCTTACGTGCTTTGAGAACATTAAATGTCCTGACTCGGAACAGGGAGCGTACTAAAGCTATGTTCAATAAATTTGGGAAGTAGACAATACACACAGGAAGGGTATACGAAACCCTTTATTTTTCTCTCTTTACAATGATTTTCGGACTTCGGAATACGGAGACCAACCACTTGTGGTCTGAACGTAAGAATATAAAAATATTAACTAAACTCTAACTGAACTTAACTTTGGATTAATCAAACAAGTGCCTACTCCAAGATTGGGCGTATATTAACAGAAAGGCCGTATGTAGTACAGAGAACTGTTAACACTACGATACGTTTAAAATTATCAAGAGGATTAAACCTCTGACCTTGAAGGCAACCAGCAAACGAGTAAAACTACTATGGCAAGCGGCCTGCTTCTAATAGCTCCTTCCTCTCTCTTGCTTGGCAAAAAGCCACAACTTAAGTACTTGGAGTTCGCAAGACAAATTTGCATTAATAAGTTAAAGCTTTTAATTCTGGCCGGAAGTAGAAAATAAGAAGAGATAGTGAAGATTTAAAATAAAATAAACGTTAGTAAAACTTAGTAGGATCCTTACAACTGTACAGTACGCTTTTACAACATGCAAGTAAAAGCGTTGCCTTTTCCTTTAAATTGATTTTGTTTCTCCCATTTTCAACATAAAGTACATACAGTAATTAATTAAAATGTACGTAGGCCCTTTCTTTCAAGATCCATAGAAGCTAATTATGCATTTCCTGCTGTTGTTACCAATCTCACTTGTTTGACAATAGTCAGCACCTGTCGCCTGTCATTGGAAAGACCTTCGAGCACCGTGTGGGGGATACCCCGGCTTTAGCTCAATTCCACCCCCAATTTTTAGAGACAGTACCCCGGGGGGGGATTAGTCGAACGGTTTTCTACTTCCTTCGCCGACAATCATCTCCGATCCAACCTCTCGAGAGGACTTTCGGCTAGCAGCAAATTTAGAGCCCTCTATGCCGCACAGGCACATTATACATTACGAAACATCCACGCATTCTCCTGGATTCGAGCCTAGACGTTCACTTCTCACTCGCCTTTCCAAGATTCGAAAAATACATACAGTTGTATTTAGATATAATTATTTTTTAATATTTTATTGATTAAACTGCAAAAAGACTTGAAAATGTTGATAAATGACAAAATGTAAATAAAAGTAGCTTTTTTTTATATTCATGAAGTGAAAATTAAACCCTGAACAGCTAGATAAAAGACTGATGACCTCATTCCCTTCTGAAGTTATGTAATTCCCCCAGGGGAGAATTCCCTGTTCGTGTAGAACTCTTGAGCTACGGAACTCAAATTAAGTAATTACTAATAATAGACAATGGCCCTTTGTTGGTGTTGTTTATGCTCACTTGTCTGACGTAGTCAACCCTAGCTCACGAATTTTTTTTTCGGAAGGAGCCAGCTGTTTTTCAACAGCCTTGGGAACCATTCAGGTGACAGTGCAATTCAGCTAAGTTTTGTTCTCCAGTTTTGATGGAGAGGGGGGTGGGGCGGAGAGCTCGACGATCTCCCATCCCTATTCTCTTTCACAAAACATCAGGAGACGACTTTCGGCTCGCCGCATAGAGTGCTGCCATGCCGCACCGACACTATACATTTACAAACTTCCATGCTTTTTCCGGGATTCGAACTCGGGGCTTTGGGCACGACAGTCAACAGCGCTAACCACTATACCCGTTGGAAGACATCATCCATTTATCATTTATAAATAATTTCGTTTGGTTTTCTACAATATCATTTTACCTGGAAACTGTACATATATGGAATTAAACAGGCTTTGCTCATACAGTAAATAAACATAGAAGATTTTCGAATTTAATTTTTCATATAGGAAGCGACTGAACCTTCCTAGTGTGCCTTCGTGGTGTAGTGGTTCTGCACGTTGGGCCGATATTCCAGAGGTCAGCGGTTCGATTCCCGGCGAAGGCGATTGCTAATTTTTCATCTTGCCTGCTTCTAAAAAATCCTAATGTCTCTACAGTGGCGCCCGAACTGAAAGGGTGTTGGATGATGATTCTCTGCACACAGGATTTGGCAATTGAGTACCCTAAAAAACCCCAGCCGCCCTTTAAAAGGGGAAGTATGTAAGGTATTTCTCCCACCTTCCTAGCGTGCCTTCGTGGTGTAGTGGTTCTGCACGCTGGGCCGGTATTCTAGAGGTCCGTGTTTCGATTGTCGGTGAAGGCGATTGCTTATTTTTCATCTTTCCTGCTTCGAAAAAATCCTAATATCTCTACAATGTACTAGTTGTAATGTACTTGCAATTGTATTAAATATTGGTTACTATGTAATGTACTAGTACAACAGATTTGTATAATGTACTTATGAGGGATTTTTTGGTATTATGTGCAGTAATATTATAACGTATAGGTGATTGGATAAAGTACTATATACTGTTCAAAAATTCCATGTGCGTTATGTATCAGTATTTACCCAGGAATGTAAAAGTACTTTTTAAGAAGAAAATTGATGAAACATTGTACTTGTGCCTGTTGTATAATGCATTTCTGTAATAATATGGTACAAGTTATTGGTCTATCAAGCATTGGTAAATGTATAGTGTGTGGGTGTAAAGTACAGGTACTGGTAGCATACATTACTTTAAGATGTAATCATTTTTGTAAAATGGTTTTATAACTCAGTTACGTTTTAGTACTTATTCAAGAATGTATTAGCATTTAATTAAGAATGTACTATGTATTTGTGTTATGCCATTGCATCACATATTTGGATTTATATTTTATATTTCTATTATGTATTAGTAAGTATGCATGCATTATGCACGATGGATAGGAGCTTCGGCCTCGTAAGAAAAACAGTTCTATTAATATCTTCAAGGGCCTTAAACTGCTGAATTGGTAACCAATTGCATGGATTGTGTAATACTCTAGGACAGAAGCCAACTCAGTGGATTTCAGTAAGAATATTTTGAAGTTTATCACTCTATTTCTTTCCTTGAAATAATTAACTTAAATATTTCTTATGCTTGAAAAGGTTTTAGCACAGTCGAAATAAGCTGGTGACGAAAGCAAGTTTTCTCGCTGGAAATATAAATTATAAATTCGGCACATATATCGTTCTAGTGAAACTTATTTTGAGCGTACTGTTTGTATAACAGGGGAAAAAAACCGGAATTCCTAGATTTTCTCTGAATGAGCAAAATAATGCACGTTTCACATTTTAATATTTCAGTTCGTGGTCGTTAGTTACAGCACTGTAATAAATGAAATAATTTCCTGAAAAATGAATGGTAAAAAAACTGTTTTCCCATATCATTTTTCAAAAGATCTTTGTACAGTCATGACAAGGTTAAATTCATTTCTTTTCCTCCAAACCTGAACAAACTCTGAAACTTGTTTATAATAATGGTGGAGATTTGAAAGGCAAAATTACGGTTGCCACATCCTCATTTATACAATGGAATGCTTTGTGACGGAGACTCCCGTTTTTGGTCCGTATGTATTAAAACCTCTAGAATTTAACTAGTTCTTCACTTTACCTATGTCAGTGCAAAAGTTACCAAATAATATGCGTACAGTTTTGTTTGCTTTTGTGTTGCTGGCAACCACAGCGGCAAAAGACGAAAATGAGTTTGAAATGTGTGTGTCCTTCGCGAAAAAATTCTTCAAGAACCATATATGCAGTAAGTTAAATTTTTCTTTATTTTGAAATATTAAGGCATTGACAACGTTCTTAGGCAAACAGATCTTGATAAACTGGGACAGATTAACCAGGTTTCGGATCAATAGGGTCCTTTCTATAGGTGCTTATTGCGGAATGGTGAAGAAATTACGGTAGAAAATCATCAGCGTAAAACAAAACTGTCTTTGAAAAATAGAAGAATGAAATGCGTGTTTGGAAAAACAGCGGTGATAACATATGACATTGCTCAGAGGGAAGAATTCTATATGTTCTTCCCTCTAATGTTCTTTCATATGTTCTCCCATATTCCATATGTTCTTGTTCTTGTTTATTCCACAAATGTTCTAACCACTCTTTTACGCGAGTTTGAGTAAATTCTTGCATTGCTCCGTTATTAGCAGACTTAGCTTTATTTTGGAAAGACCTGATTAATTGGGAGTCGATCCCTTGCATATATTCGCATTTGCCAAAAAAAAAAAAAAAAAAAAAAAAAAAAAAATAAATAAATAAATAATAAAAAAAAAATTGTACATACAAACTAATTTTTTGGAACAACTTAAATCAGCGGAAATGATTTAGAAATCTGAAACGGGAAGTATGTTTTATGGCAAGATGTTGGCTACCTTTGCTTGAACTTTGCTTAGTAGCAAAATTCCTTTTGGAGTTTAAACTAGAAACTCTGTGAAATGCCATAAAAATACATAAAGAATTTATCTGTTGCTGTTTCAGAATTAGAATCCGCTTCTCTTGCTTTTGCAAAGCATTTTTCTCAAGACTTTTATATTTCTGGTTAAGTCAAAGACGGTAACGAAAGAAGAAAAAGGGCGAAATAAAAATTATTCGTATTTATATAATTAACAGACAATTGCTGTTAATAATTTACATGTATTTTCAAGTTATTCAATACAAAGAAATAATATTTGGTTACGCAAATTAAATCTATATTTGGTTACGCAAATTAAATCAATATTCCAAACAAAAATATCGCACTGTAAATAACTTAAGAATAAATGTTACCAAACAGGAAGAAAATAAGTTACATAAATGATATTAAATAACAATATTTACAGGAGAATTTGAACAATGTCATTGAATTCAAGCTTGCATAAAAAGGTCGGTTAGAATATTCTTTTTTTTTAACAGTAGAAATCATCAGGCAGATATCATTTGCTTTCACTTCTGTTATCGCTTGCATTTGTATTTTTATTTACATATAATTTAGTGGTCAGTTTTGTTTTACGCTGATGATTTGTTTTAGTAGTGTTTCTATCATTCCGTAGTAACTTAAAAATATTTTTTAGGAAGTACCGGTATATTTGCAACCATTTAACAGGGAATTCATTGCAGTTTTCTGGATGATAAATGTATTTGTAATTACTGCTAGTGAACTTGTGTTATTATTTATGGTAAAGTCTATAAAAGGTCCTGGTGTCAGAATGCTTATATTTGTCTGACCTGTGTTATTACTTAGGACTAATGTGCCTTAGAATTTTATTTTTAATAAAAGGAGGTGTTATTGTAAAAGGAACAATATATTTGTTTCGAAATTTGAAGCAGTTTCGTTTTCTTTCAGAACAGCAGGACTTAGCAGCATATTGTATGCGACTTGAAGCTCCAACTAGGGTAAGTATTTCTTCTTCCAGTTATCTTCTATAGATAGAATGAGATATAAATTCGAGAGTTATATTTGGTGACCTGGCTTTGAAGTTATGAGGAAAATCAGATAATGGAATTACAATGAAAAAATATAAATTTATGTTGAATATTGTGGAATTACAAAAAGTATATACTTGAAAATTTAATCGAAGATAATATAAGATAAATTGCGATTTGGAAGGTTTAATAATTACATTAAAACTCACTGAAGAACAAAATTTTAGTATTAGTCCAAAGGAGCAGTTTGTCCAGAAGGACTATTAATTTCGTTTTGGCATTTCGCGTTGGTTCAAGATAGATGTAGGTGCGCTTTTCAAATTGTTGCCAGCAAATATTAGAGCCCTGCATTATATTTAAGGAAAATAATGAAGAATCTGCATAAATGTGTGTATGTTTCTCGCATTGTGATAAAACAACGGTACCTGGAGCCATCAAATTTTGAATAACGCATTTCCACCTCAATATGGGTATCTAGAATCTCAAATTTGAATCAGGAATTTGTTTTATTGTTTGTTTCATATTTTGTAAAACTTTAACGAATTTTTGATTAACAAACTCAACAATTTCAAAGCGAACAATGGCAACACTGTACGAGAGGAAAAAAAAAAACATTTTAATATTTAGCGCGCGAGACTGTGTATCGGAAATTCTAAAAGTAAGCTTATTTTAATAATATTTCGCTATATTTCTGTTGAATTAAATTTTATGGTTTAAGTGCGAAGAGTACCTTTACTTATATTTAATAAGTAACACACAAAAGTTTAAAAAAACTCCCCTTTGGGCGTAATGTAAAATCTGAAAGCTTTCAGATTTTTTTAAAAATTTTATTTAGTTTGTATTTAAATATGTAAGAGAACTTTGCAAATATTTCATTTCTCTTCTTAAGTAAAACCACTACCAAGAAGATTAATGCAGACAGTTCTCAGAGGCAGGCGACCAAGACAGTTCGTTGGGTCAGTATCGACATGACGTATCGATACTGACCCAACGAATAGTATCGGATCTACACAATTCATATCAGTTAATGACGAACGTGGACGCATGTTTGCCAGTCGTTAAAAGGTCTCGTCCCACATCACCATTAATAGAATTTATTATTACAATATATAGCATGTTTTAAATTTGTCAGCAGACTCCAATACACAATTTAAAATCATTAACTTTGAAATGCATATATATATATGCATTGAAATGGTTTCAATGGCTAATTCTGGATACAGAAAAGCAAGGAGTTTTGTGGAAGAGAGATTTAAATTGATTTCAGTGTTCCTTCTCCTGACGAAGTGGCATTGAAGTCGATTGAATTCCTCTTCTATTATGTTCTTTTTCTTTAAATTTCATTGATTTTTTAATAATTGCGGTATTATTTTTTGAAGTGTTAAGGTTTTTAACATGTTTTAAATTCTTTTTTGCATTTATACGATTATTCGAAATTTATTATTTATGAATTTCAATGTTTGGTGTTTCTGAAAAATTGGCTCTAAATTTCTTACTTTATATATATATATATATATATATATATATATATATATATTATATATAGATGTAGTCGTAGCTTAAATTATCTGACGATAAGTTTAAAAACAGGATCCATTTATTATTGGTCAGGAGAAATAGCAGTTACAAAAATCATATTTCCGGAGTAAATAAAAAAGAATTACTAATAACTTTTTGTACGAAGTTTACTGCATCGTTACATTAAAGAAAAGACCCCGATATTCCTTTGCGAGTCCTTTTATAGCCTCTGGAAAGGCGGAGCTTCCAAGAAATGACGTCAGCCATTCCAATTAGCTTTAAATATCTCCAGAACATTCTATAACTGTACGTGTAGAAAAGGCGGAAAAAGCAACTTGACTACGGGGCTGAGGATTTAATTTCACGTACTTTCAAATAAGAGACCGTCGCCATTAAAAATGAAAAGAACATACAGTTAGAATTTTAAGTGTATTCTTGACTATGGAATTTTATTATTACAAATATATATATATATGTGTGTGTGTGCGTGTAACAATTTTGCAGATAATAAGTACCAACTATTTCCTAGCACGGCCACTATGTTGTAGGGACACATAACTCGCACAAATACTATATAGTAGATGGACGGAAACAAAGGATGGATAATCTTCACGTTAACTTTTATTTCTTGATTAATAATTTCATATGACACATATTCTTCTTTTCACCTCATTATAGGTGAGACAAAATCCCACAAATTTATATGCACTTATTACATGTCGAAACAAAGGCAAGCGACAGATGGTAGGAAAGTGAATGTGCATTTCACCAAGACCTATATACAAAGTTTGGAATCTTTGGTTTAAGTTTTGAACGGTGATTAGCGAAGAGCTCTGCGTAATCCAGATGACATTGCAGGATAGGTTTTCAGCGGCGCAGTTTAGAAAATTTTATTGCTATTTTTAGAATAGAGAGGGAAAATACCCAAATTAAAAAGAGGAATTAAGGGGCTATTGCTAATTTAAATTATAATTTATATTTACATATTCTTCTTTTCTCACATGGACATAAAGATAAAACATTTAAGAACGTTTTTTAATAAATACCATTAATGCAGTGCGTTATACGAAATTAATTAATTAATTAATTGACAAAGAAATCACATATATAGAATTAATATTAACCAAGAGTGTTTAATTATCTAACAGGAAGGTACAAATCAAAAACCAAGTGGTACAGAAAATTAGAAAACAAAATTTCTTTTACTACAATTTTGTTTTCCGAGATTTTTCAAGAAATTGAATGATAAAAATAAGCAGAATGTAATGACTGAATTCATAAAGTCCAGGAAATTCGATCAAATATTCATAAGATCCGTCATCAGATTGATCATAAAAGTCATAAAGTCTTAGCATTAAGGACATTACACACTGTGTGCAGAGTGTCCCATCAAGACCGCCCTAACTCTCGCTTGGAAGACAAGGAAGTACCTACAGAACTGCACTGGTACGACCCCATTGTTTTCCAGATAAATGCGAAGGAAAATTATGACGTCATATTCAATGCAATTGGGAAAAAAACTTTTAACACGAACTTTGGAAAATTTTAGAAACACGAACCTTGGTATTTGCATAAGTTTACATAGGATGATGTTCAAAATGGGCATCTCGCATGTCGAGGCATGCATAAGCGTGTCGTAGAATGACGTCAAGCTGTCGTTTGAGTCGTATTTAAAGGGCTTCATCTAGTGCTGCCAGTAATCTTCGTAGGGTGATAACGTATTCTGTTCTTAATTGGCTGGTTATAGTGCCACTGGATTGGGTGTGGGTGTTAGGTTTTATGGCTGTCGCTATCACCAGATTTGACCTTTTGATTTCTTCCTATGAAGCCATCTGAAGGAGCTTTCCCATCGAGATATAGTTACTACAGAAAGTGACTTAAATGCTCATCTTCATGTTGCATATACTTTGGTAGACAACACACTGCTGCAACGTGTGCAGTCAGCTATTCCACGGCGCACATGCATGCCTGGATATGCATGGTGGACATTTTGAGCATTTTGTTGCATGAATATATGCAAATACCTGATGTACATATTTCGATAAAGTTTTTTTCTTCCTTGCATCAGATATGACATTACAATTTTCTTTTGCATTTATCTCAAAAACTGTATGTCTTACAGTCCCACTTCTTTCGCCATTTTCAATGGATTCCAAGCGAAGAATCTGGCTGTGCAGGGTTTCGGCGGTCTTGATGGAGCCCCCTGTATAATCGCCTGTGAATAGGATCGGCATCCAGAGCAGAGATAAAAATTGTCCCCTTATAAATATTATGCACTTATTGATTAGCAACGGTGCATAATTAAGAAGGAAATATACCAATAAATATATTTTCATGATAGCTGCATAGAATCGACATTAGCATAGGATCGAAAGTGGTTTTTGAGCTGCCATGTCGACTGTGTATTCTTTCATTTTTTGACCAGGTACAGCACTTATAATTACGAGGAGTATATTAGCTTACATAAATAAAAGCAGAAACATCACGCTTCGATTTTACATTGAAGACAGAGAAAACTCAATATATTAAATTATGTAAATGAAACTCAGATTATTTCGTTCAGCATCTGAAATTTGACCTTTACTTATTCAAGCACGAATTGCTGAATCTGTTAAACCAATTACCATCTAAGCGAGTTTCAAAAACAGTCTGTATTTCTATATACTACCAATTAACCTGTATTTACTAAGAAATAAAAATCTTATCCTATTAAGAAACTACTTTCACCGTGAGACAATGAGGGTTTCAAATTATTGCAAGAAAAAAATGCTGTATTATGTTGAGCATACATTAGTCCTTTTTTTTCTTCAATATGAAAATGCCCTACATCTGCGCTTTCGTATCAATTAAATTAGGAAGCTTTCAGTTTGAATTTCTGCATTTTTGAATTATTTCCGTCCTTCTATACAGTTTGGGATTTATTTTAATTGCGTTTCAAAGTCCCTGTGATTGAATTATCTGCTTCACAGATTCCCAATTCAAGTAATTCCACTTTCCGTTTCGGAAATGGGGTGGGCGGCGTGGATGGACGGTGGAACGTTAATATTCTGATTCAGTTTTCTCAAACATTACAAGATTGTATTCAGGCAGTGCATTATAACTCAGTAAATGATTAACAAACGTGGAGATGTGAAGCGAGTGTAAATTGTTATCGTTGCGTAATCTCCTCGTGAAATGACAGCAGAGAATCTCACACTAATTATTTGACGATTAATTATATTTGCTAATTCTGATAACTCTGATATTATGAGCGTATAACCACTAACCAAAAATAGCCACAATTATTTTCAATCAGCTGTACTGAACTTTCCATTTGCATATCTTTAAGTCAAAGTGTTCTTCATCAGTATCGATATGCTTATGTCAAATTTTTGTTCACTGCTGGAAAATAGTTTTAAAACTCTTAATTTGAAGTATTTTTCAAGACACGCAGCGTACGTTCTTGCACCTCATGCATCATTTTGAGAAATTTCTTTGTCCGCGGAAAAAGATAAATGTTGTACTGAACAAATCCTGGTGAGTAATGTAAGGCGAAAAAAGTGAATATGATGTTCGACCTCAAGAACTGTCGGAATGAACAAAGTTTTGGCAGAAATATAGTCATCGGATTTTCGACTATATTTATTAATGGTTGGATGTTTTCAGTGCTTTCTTCATTTCTCCCCTTCCGAAAATGGCTAAATTTTGGTTACTCGGTTTATTTTCTGGCAGCTTTAAGTACAAATAAGTAAAGTTATATATGCACTCTGAAAATAAAGAAATCTGATGTGTACACCACATGACTTCCTTGTACAGAATATTAAATTATACGCATTTTTTTTTTTTTTTTTTTTTGCATTTCATTTAAACATATTAGATTGAATTATACTTCTTCGCCGACAGCGCATAAGCAACAATAGAATAAATGCATTCTTTAAAATTCACTTTGTTTACCATAGCGACACTCTGGCGCTAGGTTTACTTAACAGTATTATATTTCGTTCATATTATAAATCAGAATGCACAAAATTTATATCATTTAAAGAATTATCTAATCGTTGCCACATGTTCTATTCAAATACTATAGCTCGAACTATGTATAAAAGAAATTAAGCAAACAAAACAAAAAAGAAACAGTTTTTCACAGACGATTGAGTATTTCTCATTCAATTAATTCAGTTCTCACTTCGCGACAAGGCAAAAACACATAAAAACTCAAAATATCTGTATTAAAAATTACGAAGTAAATCTTAAACGCTTATTTCCTCGAAAAAATTCCAGAAAGGATTAAGCATGATTTAAATAATAAATGAAGGCGTTATCTTTGTTGTTGCGAAGCTAAGTTTCTCTAGCTTGGCAACAAATCCGCTACTCAGCTGTTTTAAATGTAAACAAGATCAATGGTCGCCATGAAATTAGGCTTAGCGACACTTAAATAATTTTAAAATTGTTGATAATTCTAAAAATATTGCGTAAAGATTTACTAAAGGCATAAAAACCTTAACCGGAAGATAAAAAAAAAACATAATTCAATCATTTTTAAAGGAAAAAATGTACAATTTGCAAACATATAAGAGTAAAGAAACTGAGATAACTGAGCCGGATAACAGAGTGGATATATATATAAATATATTTATATACGTTTGGTGCGGCCGATTGCAACCAAAATACGAGGTGCACATCTACATGTTATAGCAGTCTTATATACAAAATTTCAACGTTCTGAGGCTACTCGTTTTTCACTTATGCGAGATACGTACGTACGTACATACGTTCGTACAGACGCCACGAAAAATTATCTTCAGAATTAATTTTAAAGCAGTTTTATAAATTTTTTTTGGAGGAAAAAAATGTTTTATTCTGTCCTTACATACATATATCACGGAAATACATCGTTAAATTGCATTCGAAAGAGGTCAAAATGGGATATTTTCGTTGAAATACGCTGCCTGAAACTTTTCGCGATTACAATACTTCCTTTTTACTTCGTACAAGGAAGTAAAAACGACGCCCCAGGAAGAAGTCATGAGAAAGGCACGAAACTGCGTATGCCTGCACCTTACGATACATTATGCAAATGATTAAGTTTTGGCGTCCAATAACTGACTAGCTTGGTAGCAGCGCATTGTAGGAGCATCCGGATACTATAAGAAACAGAGAAAATTCCAATGCTAGGACATAACTTCCATAGAATCTGGTTCCATCAACTAACGTGGACTGTACCAGTGCCTCGCAGATGGGTTTGCGAACAGTATGAGCGGATGTCACTATTTGAGAGAGGACATGCGGTTGGACTAAAGGGAACATGGTGGTCAAATTAAAGATCGTTTGGTACTTGGGGGTCTGAGTGATGCTGCCGTTTGACGATGTTGGTAGGAATGGGTAAAACATGGCCACACAAAGCGTCAAAATGGTAGTGGTCGACTACAAGCGTCGAAAGAACGGGATGATAGAGTGATCATCCAGTAGGCGCTCACATCTCCTCTAATCCTGGCGATTCGAGGTGTAACTAGGACACCAGTTATGGCAATGACCATTGATAAGCTACTGTTTAAATGTTTGTATATCTATTTGAAGTCAGTTGTTTTACATGCCCTGAAATTTTGCAAGCAATATATTTACCTTTATTAACCTTTAACTACTGTGACTTAAATTGTCGCATAACTACTGTGAGCGGTCTCTCAGACCGCTTCTGCTATAAACAAAATAAGATATTATTTTACTTTTCTTATTTGAGTAAATGTTATTTAATTTCATATATTTAACTTTTTCACGAAGATATAAAGCAATTTTTATACTTAAATCAGTTCATTAGAATAAAATATATATACTATGATAATAATTCCTTAGCTAACGTATCTGGATGGAAGAAGTAAATTTTAAAATTGAACTTTTTTATTTTACATTAAAATTTTTCGATAAGAATGCTTTAATAAGAATATAGAAAATTAATTTTTATTTTAAAAATTATAATTCGAGCTGCATTTTATACATACTTTCCCTAGACACACTGGTTCTTTGCATTCTTTACATTTGTAAGCTGTTTTCCCTTTTTTTTTTTTTTTTTTTTTTTGCTCGATGGACAAATATAGCACTTTCTTTTTTTTTATCTAATTTATTGTCTTCGATCGCAATGTTTCCTTCATCATCATTTATTCCGAAAACTCTTCTTATTGTAAGTTTGAGTTCTTCAGGTAAAAATGATGAAGTTATCCTCCGTTTTACATGAGATTGCACCGACTGAATTGCTAATGAAATCTTTTGTTTCATTTTCGAAGCCAATGGGATAAGATTGAAATAATACGAATGCATTTATTGCACATATAATCCCAGTTTCTGAAGAATATTGTCATAGTCCAACATCGGGTTCTACGAGCAGTTGTATAGATTGAACGAAGAATAATATTGTGACTACGAGTTCGAACAACCTTGTTGGGCACTTGAATAGACTATTTGAATTAATTTTTTCCAATAAAAATAATCTTCTGCAGAAGGAGAACACGGAGTTTCCTTTTCATCGGCAGATATTTCTAAATTTGTGTCGTGGTCGCTCTCTATAATTTCATCATGGGAACTTTCATCAGAAAACTCTAAATTAGACCAATTTCGAACTATTTATTAAAATTGTTCTTGGGTAAGATATATAGAACGTTTCCTGCACGCATTTGAAGCAATTTCAAGAATATTTATAAAAAAGCGAAATATGTAACAATAACGAAAAGTGAACTTTATCGGCCGAAATTTGAATCGTATCTGCTGTGATCGGTCCCACAGACCGCTGAGGGGGGGGATTTAAAAAAAATAAAAGAATAAATAGAGCTAGCCAAACGCAACTTGGTATATGACCTTGGACAACTGTTTTAGGAAGGTACTAAGAATCGCAATACACATTAATTATTCTAAGAGGTGGAAGCACTTAATGGAAAATGTCCTGCGGTCGGATAGACCGCTCACAGCAGTTAAAGGTTAATGTGCCACAATTTATAGCTTCTAAATACTAAATCTGCATGTTATCTGATAAAGAATTAAATGAAATTTATTTACATAATTGCTTTAAAATTACAGATTACGAGATCTCTTGACAAATGCTACAAAGAGCTTCAATTAGATCCTATAGATACCAGAAACACAGTTACTCAGCTTTGCTCGTCTGAAGAACTGCAAGAGAAGGTAAGTATTTTAAGATATATTTCGCAAATTTAAAATAATTAGGGTGCTACTTTGGTAGACGGTTGCACGGATTTTGGCGATTTGTGTTGGCGCGATTTTTACAAACGTCAGCCATCTTGAAAAACGCTGTTTTTGCGCATAGTAAAGTATTCGAAACTTTAAAAAAATAAATATCGTTAAAAGTAATGGATTAATATTTTGTTGAAAATGTCGGTTTTAAGATGGCAGCAAGGGTAAATAAATACATTTACTATGAGTATAAAATACTAAAGTAAGGTTACTATTACTTTCATATAGCAAAGAGAATAAAAACACCGCTATAAAAACATTGTGCCAACGTTTAATTAGATTAAAATATTACTGAAATTGAATATCGAATTAAAAACCATCATACCAACATTTAAAAGAATTAGAATATTATTAAATTCAAATACTTTAAAATACGTTATATAGAATATAATTAACATTAAAACATATGGACAATAATTATCTCAGCAATTTTTGAAAATAGTGTATTAATTTTTTCAACAAAAAATTGAAGTATGCAATTATAAAATAAAGGAAAAATATGTACTTACATTTTTTTAGTCATTTAACCTATTGCTTATTGACAACTACCACAAAAAAATCGGAATCATAATTTAAATAACACCTTTGAAGACATCTTTCAAGGAATTCGAAGATATGAATTAAATTTTAAAACGGCGCGGAAATGCACAAATTTTCAATAACCAATCAGGGAGCTGATTACAGCTCGTTAATGCACAAATATTCTATAACCAATCAGAGAGCTTATTACATCACGCCTAGAATTAAAATTATTTAAAAATTCATACATAATAAAAATTATTTTTTAAAAAAATGCAAAATTAAATTGTATTTTAATATTTAACAGCCATGAATAATGTTTAAAACATTAGATTAAATTTATACATATAAAAACCAATTACTTTTAAAGTAAGGTGACGTCATTGGTGACATCATCCACAACATAAAATTTCATAAAATATGATAAACAATAAAATTTTTATTTCAAATAAAAATGCAAAATTAAATTGATTTTTGATATTTAGAAGCCATAAATAATATTTAAAACACGGAATTTATGCACATTAAAACACATTATTTTTTAAATAAAATGACAACAAAGTATCGGTTACCATAAATAACTTATCCATCAATGGGTTTACCATAAGTTGTATTACTCGCCAAAAGAAAAATCGCCAACAAATCGCCAAAATCCGTGCAACCGTCTACCAAAGTAGCACCATAATTAGTAAATATGGAAGCAGAAAACACTTCCTGATGTTTAATATTTTACAAAAGGAAAAGTCAAAATGATCTTAAATATGCTTATAGAAATTAAATGACACAACAAGCGTTTGCAGAACAAATAATGTCCTCCAACTTGAAGTACAACATACAGCTATTAATATTACTCATTTATAAAGTAGGATAACATATTTATTGTACTCAGCAAAAATATAATAGAACATCATTAGATAATTCCAAATTTTTTGTCTAAAAACAGATCTGACCTCTTAAGCTCAACAACATGTTTCAGGTGTTTACCATAACAATTAAGGAACTGCTGTCATCTGTCATGTACATTTGCCATGAAGCAGTGTAAACGTTCTTGCTAAATATTCTCAATTTCCTGATAAATTGCATTTTTAAGGCTGTTGTTGTCCATTAGGGTATAAATAAAAAGTTGAGTTTTAAATATTCCCATCAAAAAATAAAATGTGTTGATGCGAAGTTCGGAGAAATAAATGAAAGCTGCTGAATATCACTACATCTAGAGATAAGTTACCCGAGAATACATCAGTTGTTTGAAAATTCACAACCATTTGAAGCCAACAGCCTTAAAATGCGATTTTTCAGGATATTACGAATGTTAGGTAGGACATTGTCCATTGCATCAAGGCTGAGAGATAATCACATGCTTTGTGAATGCAAGATAATGAATTAAATAACCGTGTCCAACTGAGTTTTATGCTATGAATATTTAATACATCATCTTCTAATATAAAAAATCTGATGTGTACACCACATGACTTCCTTGAACAGGAATATTAAATCATACGCATTTTTTTCTTGCATTTTATTTAAACTTATTAGATTGAATTAAACCTACTTCGCCGACAGTGCATAAACCACAATAGAATAAATGCATTCTTTAAAATTCACTTTGTTTACCATAGCGACACTCTGGCGCTAGGTTTACTTAACAGTATTATATTCCGTTCGTATTATAACCCAGAATGCACAAAATGTATATCATTTAAAGAATTATCTAATCGTTGCCACGTGTTCTATTCAAATACTATAATAAAGCTAGAACTATGTATAAAAGAAATTAAGCAAAGCAACAAAAAAGAAACAGTTTTTCAAAGACGATTGAGTATTTCTCATTCAATTATTAATTCAGTTCTCACTTCGCGACAAGGCAAAAATACATAAAAACACGAAATATATGTATTAAAAATTACGATGTAAATCTTAAACGCTTGTTTCCTCGAAAAAATTCCAGAAAGAATTAAGCATGATTTAATTCGCAATAATAAATGAATGCGTTATCTTTGTTGTTGCGAAGCTAAGTTTCTCTAGATTGGCAACAAATCCACTAGTCTCCTGTTTCAAATGTAAACATAAATGGCCGCCATCAAATTAGGCTTAGCGGCACTTAAACAATTTTAAAATTGTTGATAATTCTAAAAATATTGCATAAGATTTACTAAAGGCATAAAACCCTTAACCGGAAGACAAAAACAACATAATTCAAATAATAAATATATTTATATACGTTTGGCGCGGCCGATTGAAACCAAAATACGAGGTGCACATCTATATGTTATAGCAGTCCTATATACAAAATTTCACCGTTCTGAGGCTACTCTTTTTTGAGTTATGCGAGATACGTACGTACGCACGTACGTACATACGTTCGTACAGACGCCACGAAAAATTCTCTTCAGAATTCATTTTAAAGCAGTTTTTTAGTTTTTTTGGAGGAAAAGAGTCTTTTATTTTGTACTTACGTACAGATATCACGCAAAAACATCGTTAAATTGCATTCGAAAGCGGTCAAAGTGGATATTTTCGTTGAAATATGCTGCCTGAAGCTTTTCGCGATTACAATACTTCCTTTTTACTTCGTACAAGGAAGTAAAAGAGGTAAAGTTAGATACTGCATACTATGTTAGAAGGACCATGTATTTGACTGATGGAAAATATAATGTCAGCAAAGCTTAACTTCGATGGCCTTGTCCTCGAAGAAGCATGCGCAAAGTGTAGAAGCAAACACGTGATTTTTCAGTACTGAAGTTGTGAAATCTGTAGAGGCATAGTGCCCACGTCCCCCGTTTCTTATCCTTATCCCTTATCCTTGCAAAGTATGTCGCAGTGCGGGAAGGTCAGCCGATCATTTCAACAGGTGTATCAATAAACTTGCTGAGGTATCAAAGAGGCAATCATAGACTACAGTGGCAATGACATAAGGAGGAATAATCATTAGTGATTAAACAAATACCCTGATATTCGGTAGAAATCTTCCATTATCAGTTGCTGAATTCATTTAGTGTTATAAAATAATATTTAAACTTCCTGAATGTAGATAACGGAGAAACTATTAAACGAGATTGGATATTTTTCATTTAAAAACAATGTCTATATTGAGCATACGTCAGCGCATTTAGTAATTCTATTATTTTTTAGTTTTGTCACAGTCCTGTAAGAGGCAGGCATTAGAGAATTTAAAATAGCTGAGGTGAGTAGTTGTTTCCTTTCAAGTTGCATGAGCTACATTTAAAACGTTATTAGAAAACTAAACTGAGCATGTGCACGATGTCTAAAGAGGAAAAAGGACGCAGTTTGATACTTGGCCTCAATCATGTGTATCAGTTAACGAGAATACGTGCAAGGTTGAGGAGGAAGAAGATGTGTGATCTGAAGAAAGGATGATGCAACAACAACCGAACGACTGAAGAAGTGCAGGGACAGTGTTACAGACTTCAAAGTGTGGACAAGCAAATGGACACATAGCAAACGGGCACTGGAAGTCCAGAGGTATTACGAGTGAGATAACCTGTTCATCACCTCCTTCTGAATTCATAACCGCTTTTGTTAATTCATATCCTCTGCTATGTTAAATTCCAACCGATGATGTATTACTGCCAATGGCAGATATTTTGAACATCTGTAATTTTAAGATGTCTGAAACCAAAACAGTTAATACATTTTTTAATTAGTGTTCTTGTTATTAGCATTCAAAGAGATTAAAATTAATTTGGATCTTGCTGAATGAACTCTGAAACACTTTTATTGAACATTACTGAGAATATGAGAAAATATTTTAATGTTTGTAATCCTATTTATGCATATTATTTTAGTAAAAGAATTATTGATTTAATGGAAGTAAAATTATTATTTGCTAGCGAAGGTAAGGATTATGTTAATTTTATTAACAGTTAAAGTTTGAGTTAAAGTTCCTTTCCTGTCGAAAATTCCTGTCGCCAATGGCAGTTATTTTGAACATCTGTAATTTTAAGATGTCTGAAACCAAAACAGTTAATACATTTTTTAATTAGTGTTCTTGTTATTAGCATTCAAAGAGATTAAAATTAATGTGGATCTTGCTGAATGAACTCTGAAACACTTTTATTGAACATTACTGAGAATATGAGGAAACATTTTAATGTTTGTAATCCTATTTATGCATATTATTTTAGTAAAAGAATTATTGAGTTAATGGAAGTAAAATTATTATTTGCTAGCGAAGGTAAGGATTGTGTTAATTTTATTAACAGTTAAAGTTTGAGTTAAAGTTCCTTTCCTGTCGATTCGTAACTTCAACTTACTACTTTCGGCCAGGACGTAGTTTTAAAATCACGTCTGAATACAGGAAGAACGATATTTAACCGCGAAGTTCTTCGGTCTTAGGGGGAGAGATACCAGGTATTCTGGCTGCACGCGTCCGCTTTTTTAGGCTACTCTCTCGT